CACGTACGTCGCGCCCCGCCTCGCTCCCCGGCCACCTCCCCCGCGCCCCCCGTCCCAGCCGCGGTTTGCCGCCCGCTGCGCCGTACTCATGGTGCGACGAGAAGGAGGCCGCCCCGCCGGGCCGCCCGTTAAGCCCGCTGCCGCTGCCCGGCTTCTGCGAGCGCGCGCTCGCCCGCCCCGAACTCTCCGACCTGGCGCTCCCTGACAACACGTGCTGCGTGTCCGCGCCCGCCTTGCGCGCGCGCCGGGGGGGGCGCACCTTGAGCTCGCGCTCCTGGTAGCCGTCCCCCCGCTCGCGGCGCTTGGAGCAGCAGGACCCCATGGCCCCACGTCAAAGCGCTAGCGCAGCAGCATCGCAGAGGGGGCCGCACGATGAGCCACCCGGGGTTTGGGCTCACGAATACGTAGGCGTTAGATGTCAGCAATATACCAAAGCCGCAAACGAGTTGTTTACAGGATTTGGTACCAGGAAAGGTGGTTGTCAGAAAAGTCGAGTTGCGTGAAATGCGCAAGGCGACAATGTCGCCGAAGACGCTGCATTTCTTTGGGCGTTGATTATGCGGCAGCGGCAGCAAGGAGGCTGAACAAACCGTACAGCTGCCCCTTTACCGTCTGCTTTGCAGGACTCTCAGAGCAAAGATGGTGAGCCGATAACAATTAGCCCGTCAAGGATGACAATTCTCTGGCAGCTGCAAGTCGGTACGGCCACAACTCTGCAAGTATTGCTCAAGAGCCCATCAAACCACTTGCGTGCTGGTGAGTCCCTTAGGCAAGGCAATCTCGACAACATACGGCACACCTCCAGTGCAGAGCAGTGACCACCCCCGCCGACAGTAACAAAACCCCCGATGGACTTTGTGACGAGCTACTCGTGACCTCGACGAGAGCTTCTCCCTCATGGCACTTTGGATTTCAAACAGGAAAGCGCAACCTATCTCTCTCAGCACAACGTCCGTTTTAACATCAACAGAGCGCCTCGTGCAGCACTGGTGTACGTACCTTTCGGAGTGGTGTGCTCGGGAGTCGGTACGTGTTGCCCAGGGCCCACAGCCTACACTGCCCTACCGTAGGTATACGGTAGTCGAAGTTGAACGCTCCTGACCGTAGGTACAGGAATATGTACACTTCCTTGCGATTCGCCATGATGACGGAGGGGTCACCGGCGACGTTTGATATCGTGGTTCAGGGCCAGTTGACCCTCTGCCGGGCCCGGAAAAGTCGGACGTGTCGCCGGCAGAAGGATGTTAACACCTTCCAGTCTTCTCGGCACAGCCTTCGTTCGTCACATCGATCCGACAAAAGCCAGACGGAGCTCACACGTATATCGCATATGCCGACAAATATATACCCGGCCCAGCGAAGAGTCTATCGGCCCGACAAGCCGGCTAGTAAAGCCGCCCTGAAGGTTCGGCTTGTTCAGAGGCTAGGACGGTCTACATCCCGGTTATTGATCCCCGGGCAACAATCAGGGCGTACCTACTGCCGCGGCCTGATTATTGGGCAAAATTCAACGCCTTGAAGTGAGCCTATGATGTGTGAGAAAGAATTTACATTCTCGCGTGTGGGCAACGTACCTACGAGGTCCGAGTCTAGCCTGGCGCAGCTCTAGGCTGATGGCACGTGACAACTAGTATGGCGGCCAACAGAATTCCGTCCATGATGCATCATGCATGCTGGACCGCGCAGCTATTAGTTAGTATCAGTATCAGTATCATTCAATGCCTCGACACAATAAACCGCAAGTTACCATCATTCAATGCCTGGCGGTAATTGGCCTCTCAGTAACTTGGCCCTCATGCAGCTACTGAGTGTGCCATGGCGGCCGCCGCCGCCATTGAGTCTATGGCACGTGCACTAATGGAACTGTGCAATGTTTGATGCAGCCCGACGTTGCATCCAATCTTCACTCGAGGGCCGTGCCTTACTTCACACTGTTACGAAAGTGCCTCCGTATATGAAAGTGTCGGTACGGGTACGATGGTCTCTTTTCGTTCTCGCCGTAGCCAAATTGGCCATAGGGTTCTCATGGCATACATGTATGAGTTTGTGTACGTCCTCTTCTGCTTTGCAATGGCTAGCCTATGCCTACCTACCAGAGGTCCGTAGTACACCGCATCAATACGATACAGAAGTGCTTAGGCAATCCTTTCAAAAAGTGCTTCCTTACGAAAGCGTCCTTATGAGACAAAAGTTTTATTAGCCACCGTCACGGTTGAGGTCTTCTGTCCCGAAGGGATAACATACACCAACAATCACATGCATACGGTATGTGCTATAAAAACCTATCCTATGATCCTATGGACGAAGGCTGCATGACCGAGAAAAAGAATAAAAGAGACAACTCGAATGTGCCGGCATATACAGTTTAATAGCAGATTGAGGTGTTGAGCGATTAGTCGTCTCTTCGAGCATTCAAATATTTGATTTCAGTTCCTTTAACCTACTTCTGGCATGCAACTTAGCTCGTGCCAAAATGTGCTTTTGCCCGATCCTCCAACAAAAGGCGAGTGAAATCAACTCATCTACAAAATCAAACTTTCGTTCGCATACTTCGTTCTCCTTACACCAATGGGTTATCGGTCCTTGCTGCTCTGGATTGCTAAGAGCCACTTGCACGGGCTTCCAGGCTTTATCATGTAAAGCAAGGTCGCTTTCAAGACTGGTTGGCAAATCTTGCAAAAGCAGTTGACATACGCTTTCTAACCACTCATACGTCCTAACATCCCCTTCCACGGAAATCCGCATTCCAGCAGACGCAAGGTGTCCATACCGTTTTCTGTCGAGGGCTGACGCTGCTCGCAGCCGCAGGGCAGACAGGAGACCAAAGGATGGTTGCCCATCTGCCCGTACATGACACTCGGAGCGCATCTCCAACTCTGCGGAATGGACATGAGAACGTTGCTGCTCACAAGCCGCTTTCGGAAGGAGGCTGGCTGGTAGCAGGATGGTGACCGCGTCGTTGGGATTGTCGGGAAGGAGGAAGCCGTAGTGCTCCAGCAAGTCGAGGTTACGGTACGCGCCATAGCAGAGGAGTACCTGCGTATGAGACGGGTCGCTTACAACCCCGCGCAATGCCTCCGGATCGAAGCGCCTTGCAGGCTGATTCGCTGCTTTGTCCGTGTCCTCCGTTTAGCTTCTGGTACGACCTTCGACGGACCTGACGAGGTCCAGCCAAGACCGGTCGAGGATGAAGTAGCGGCAGTTAGGCAAGCGAAAAGTTGGGTACGAGAGTCCTGGGCGTACCTGCTGGCCTGTCCTGTAGTTCTCCCGTGCGTAGAAGCGGAAGCAGCGGGTCTCCGCGTCAAAGGCTCCGTCTGTGAGGCGGGCGGTCTGGTCCTCCTCGGACGGCGCAGCGTAGTTGAACAAGTCGCCCACGGGACAAAGCGCGCCCGCAGAATCGAAGGGAATCGCCACAGAACGGGAAGTGACCTGGACGCAGTACAAAGACAAACGTCCGTTCAAAATGTTCCTGTTGGCATCGAAGTAGACGAGGAGACGGCGTACGCATCGTGGCACATAGCGCCACAGCCGTGCTTTGATGCCGAAGGCAGCTTGCTAACCCTTGCTTCCCAGCGGTGGTTGAGCGCTGTAGAACGCGCAAGACACTGGGATGCACCAGTGGTTGAACGACCTGTTCAGAGAATCAAAGGCTGTGCAGCTTCCACTTGAGCCGGAGGTTGATGAGATGGGTTCAAAGTAGTAGAGACGAGTGACACAGACACTGTGGTGGAGAGCACAGCATCGAAATCAGAATTTGGGTGCAAACAAAGACTCAAATGAAAGCACAGACTGCATCAAGAGTCAACCGAAGGTAACAGACAGCCTTCCTCATCGTAAGTACTCAATGACGAAGATGAAGAAGTCAAAATAAAGGTAGCGACGGAGACCTAAGGGCATCGAGCTGCTTAACAAGTACTGGAGTTGGCCCCTGGCAGAGGCAACAAAGAAGTCCGGCTCCCGGCTCTTGAATGACTAACGAAACATGTTTAGAAGCTCTGCTTTGACGTGACCCCCTCAAACCGAATGGGGACTCCGTGGTGGAGATGCGCAGAGGCCCAGACAAAACATGCTGCCCCAGGGGGAGCCCCTGGGCCGGCCGAAGTTGCAGGTGCACAGCCGGGGCCTGCAAACACCATTTGCCGAGAATACCCTGAAGACTGAGCGTTAGTTTTCAAACATTCACAAAAGCACCCCATCAGCCAGCACCATCAACGTGTTCTCCCGGCGGTCCTGCATGGCTGGCCCCGCTCTCGCGCCTGCTCACCGTTGCGGCGGCCCACAGCCAGGCCTTGAAGCGCCGGAACTTTGGGGGCAGCCCCAAATCCTGCAACAAAGGGGCGGCTGCAGCCCAATCGCGGTGCGCTTCGGTGCGGGCCCGCCGGGCGGCCTCCATGGCATGGGGAAACTGGAGGTGGAGGACCTGAGGGGCGGAGAAGTGGGCGAGGGTGTGGTGCACGCGAGGCAGCGCTAGCAGGTAAGGCCGCCAGAAGGAGGCAGCCCCCTTGGCCACCTCGTGCAGTAAGTGCACTATCAGGACCTGCATGGGTGAAAGACAAGGGGGGGGGAAATCAAAATCCTTAAAATGCCGTTCACTAAAAAGTGACCGTCTCAGAAGGGGAGATGTTTGAAAGCACGATCCCCTTTCAAAAGAACATAAAGGCAGAAAAATTCACCACATGCTGGAGAAGAGGATTGGAAGGACTCCGCAAGAAACAAATGCATCTGAGGGTTGCTGTTGTTCTGCCCCCAACGAACACACCTGGTGCGAAGTCAAGCCTGGAGATCTGGTGAGCAGGGGTCCGAGAATGGCATCCGTGCGAGCTGACTTGGCGGTCATGAGCAATTGCTCAGGCACTGCCAGAAGCGCCTCCCCCGCTGTAAGGTCCCTCGTGGCAGCCAGGCCCCGGCCCCCCGCCTCAGGAAAAGTGGCCACCGCTAATGTCGTCTCCAGGCAGCTCCTTCGTTCGTTCCTTCTAGACTGCCGCGGCAAATGACCGGCCTGATGTAACAGTGGTGCAGAAACAGAGTCGTGCGCTCCGTGCTCCGCTGCCCACTTCAGCAGCTCGTCCAACTCTTGGTCCATCTGTTCTACCAACCAGCATCAATGGACCATCCGCAACGGCAAACAGAAGTCCACCACTAACCCAGCTCGCTTTGGCCAATTCGTTGTCCCCAGCTTTTGAAAGGGTGCTGTATGCAACACAGAATTGCAATGGCCCGAGCTATTCTCAAGGCACCCGGAAAAAAAGCACTGCGAGAGAACAGATTCCTGGGGGCATCAAAGCTTGCTTCTGCTGAAAAAGGAGTAGCGAATGTCGACCACACGAAATACTCTCGACAATTTTCGCCGACCTTAAGTTCTAAGTTCCAACTTCGCCGACGAATCTCGATCGCTACGCGCGGCGCTCCACCGCACATCGCCACTGCTCGCGTACTTTTATGTATGTTATATGCATCAGTCGGACGGCAATGCTAGCGCGCATATTGACGGCGGGATGACGCTATGGCCCGTCAGTGAAATCTGCGGTCTAGCTTGAGTCGCCATCATTTTGGAAACGCCAGGCGTAAAGCCTGAGGTAACAAGGATAACATAAATCTGTCATATATCCTCTTTTATTCAGTGTTATTGTCGCTGAATATTCATCTACCTTTTATAAAATTTCAGTCGCGGAGGGCGTTGGCCGCCAGGCCAATGTCCCACGCCTCTCACAAAGGTCATCGGCTTATTGCATCCTGGGCGTTCCAATTTCCGCCACCCTTAATTCAACTACCGGTAAGCTGCTGCTCGGCACCCAGGTGTTTTATTTTGATGGCCACGTGCTACAAGATGAACCGTGCGATGTGCAAATGCCAGTGTGCAAGACGGCCATTGCCAGAAAGCGCTGAGAACGTCAAGAGGAGGACTCGGAGGAGCTTTGACGCGCTTGCATTGCAAGCGCCAGATACGATCTGAACCCAGCTCTTGGGGGACCCTTTGTGTCCGCTTGATCCCCCTTTCCTTCTGCAGACGCGGCGATCAAGGCCAACGGCAAACGCTGCGTCCAGCATGTTGGGGCGGGTGGCTCTGGCGGCCCGCAGCCTTGTGCGTTCCTCGAACACCGCACCCGTGCAGGATGGAGTTTTTCAGAGGGCAGCACAGGTAGGGTAACCAGTTCGCGCTTTGCCAGGTTGTGTGGTTGATGCACATTATCAAAGTCTCTTGTGCTGCTGCTTCTATTCAGTATACAGAGAGACCTCCTGTTTCTGCCCTCAACCACATGAAGCACACCTTTTATCTGCTGGATGTGGCGTGTGAAATAATTTCAGTTCATTCTTGTGTTCTTTGAGAGGCGCATGAAGAAGGATCAGCATTTTTTTCAAATGGAATCAGGGTAAAGGGAGATATGGAATCAGGGTAACGGGAGAGAGTGGCACAATCTGAGGTTGTTTTGAGCATTTCATCGTGGTCAGCGTAACAGCATATGACAGTCGCATATATGAATCTGGAAGGCGGACGACATCAAGCTGCATCCCTGACACAGAATTGGCGGTTTCACAGGAAAAGAGCTACTGTTGATCTTGGCTTGTGCACAAGTAGTTGTGACATTTAACCCAACTTTGCATAGCCGCAAAGAAGCACCACCAAGGTTGATGCAAATTACTGACTACCTGTTGCTTGCACAATCACTTCATTGAAGACAAAAGTAGTCCTGCAAAAGGCCTGGCTGATATTGCCACGGTTGGAAGATCTACAGCGGTTTTGCATTCCTGCTCGGGAACTTCTGACCATGAGCAGGTGGTTTGCAAGCCCAGCTTCTTGCTCTGCAAAGCTTTGCATGTCTGGCTGTGTGCTCGGTTCTTCCAAAGCACCTCAGCAGCTTGTGAGGTTGCAAAAGAGTTCACATCTGCTCGCACTTTTGTGCGTTGATTGGCCCGCACTGTTGTGTATCGATTGAAGCAGGCTGCGATTGTTGTGTGCAGTTCCTGCCGGCCTCAGTGGTGACGGCGCAGCAGCAGCAGGACACGCGCGTCCAGATGGCGGTGCGCGGCGTGGCCCTGTTTGCCGGTGGGGCTGTGGCGCTGTATGGTCTGTCGGACACCGTGCAGGCGGATGAGGCGGAGCACGGCCTGCACGCCCCCGCTTACCCCTGGCCGCACAACGGCATCTTCAGCTCATACGACCATGCCAGGTGTGCCCGTCGCACTCCTGCATTCAAGCCCAGTTGATTATGTCTGAGGTTCTCGCTTGTGAATGATGCTGGATTACTCAGCAATCAGGTGCCAAGAGGCGCAGTGTTGCCGCGGGCGATTTGTCAGCACCTTTGTGCCTTGATGGAAGTGCTTCCCAACAACAAGGCTTGCCAGTAGAGACCTCACTTGAAATGGTTAAGATCGTCCATAGTACGCTGCTTCGCAAACTCTGTTGAGCAGTGGTGAGCTTGCAGACAACCCTGCAGTATGGACCTCATCTTGCTGCAAGATTACGTACAGAAGGAACAGATGTTTTGTCTTCTTCTGTTTCTTTGTCTTTTTAGTTGTCTGTAGAAGCATGCATGACTCTGGAGGGAAAAGCAATGATTCATTGAGGGGTTTGCATCTGTATGACAACCAGTAGAGATATGGGGTGGAGCTAATATGTTCCTGGCTTTGAAAAGAGAGCTTCTGGTAGTTTTTACACAAAACCTTTGCTTGACGAAGGGTCAGTGTCAGGTCCTTTGTCAAGGGGTCTGCTGACCACTTACTGTGAAGTGATGACTTTGATCTGTCTTTTCTTGAGCCCCTCTAACCATGCATCTTTTCTAGGCTGTGCTTCTTCCTTTCTGTGCGTCAGAAAAAGGCCGCTTAATCCACCTTGTTTCTACTCATCGCTCTGCATGCCGCTCTGCTTTCGTTATTGCATTTGCGCTGATATTATATGTTTCCTCCTATTTACTTCTCATCTCCTGGACAACCTCCTCTCAGGGGACCTGACAGTACTTGGTCAGGATTGTTGAGGCACCTTGGAGCCCTGCCGTTTTGCCCTGACTTGTCTAAAGTCGCTGAAATATGAACCTGATCCCAGTGCGATTGCACCTGAAGCACTTAGGGCATGCTGCCCCGCCCTGACCGGTCGTTGCTCGCTCGCCTCATTGCTGAAGCCTGCGCTCCTGTCTGACTGTCCATTGCGTGTGCTGTGGCATGCGCAGCATATTTCAATAGTGATGAGGATCTAGTAGCATCGGGAAATGTTGGTTGTTGAATCAACCCTTACTAAATCTTCATTCGATGCGTAATATAAAACTCCGGCACCCCGCCTTATCGGATCCCACTTTTCCCCTCGCAGCATCCGGCGCGGGCACCAGGTGTACCAGCAGGTGTGTGCTGCGTGCCACAGCATGAGCCAGGTGGCGTACCGCGACCTGATTGGCGTGGCGTACACGGAGGACGAGGTCAAGGCGCTCGCGGAGGAGGTGGAGGTGGAGGACGGGCCCAACGACGAGGGCGAGATGTTCAGCCGCCCCGGCAAGCCCTCCGACTACCTGCCCAAGCCGTACGCCAACGAGCAGGCCGCGCGCTTCGCCAATGGGGGAGCCTACCCGCCCGACCTCAGCCTTATTACCAAGGTGAGCCAAACGGGGGGGTGGCACAAACGGTGTCTTGATTCGGTTGGGAGACAAAATTAAATAGAAAACGCTAAAATAAAATAGAAAACGCTAATCACAATAGTCGCATGCTGCTCGACATCGGGCGCGTAGCTCTGCTTTGCGCCCTTTTGTTGGTTTGTTTATGTAGGTGGTTAATTTTTCCAAAGACATAGTTTGGGGTGCAGGTTTGAGCGAGTTTTGTGACCTATGATGATGTCGAAGCGTCACATTCTTGTTGGATTGCCCTCGTCGCTTGATCTGTTGGTTCTTTAATACAAGGACGGAAGCCTCAGGCGTCAGTTACTTTCATGTGCCTGCTGTGCCGCATCTTTTAATCGCTGGCGCCCTCTGACCGCCTGTCTCTGCTTGCAGGCTCGTCACGACGGACAGAACTACGTCTTTGCGCTGCTGACCGGCTACAGAGAGCCCCCCGCTGGGGTCCACGTGAGTGCCGTCACGAGCTCTCTACCGCATGGTATCCCTGACGGTTAGCCAGGAAAAACTGATGGAAATCGTCGTTTTTTATTGTGGGCATGCCTTCCGAGCTGTGATTCTGGTACCTGCAAAAGTATCCCCATTAGGCACTGTTCACCCAGTGCTCAGCCCATTAGCAGCTGTGCTGAAGTCGCACTTCATGAGTTTGTTAGCCTCTCAGTTGGTGTCGTCCTTCTTGAAATCCTTTCAGCCGTCTTGCTGCCTGCAACAAAGCTGTTGCACAGGGGGCCGCTCTCCGCGCCACAGCAAGCCATCCCCTGCTCTGACCCCTTCTGCTGGTGCGCTGGGCGGTGCAGGTGCGCGAGGGGCTGCACTACAACCCGTACTTCCCGGGGGGCGCCATCGCCATGCCCAAGATGCTCAACGACGGAGGGGTGGAGTACGACGACGGCACCCCCGCCACCGAGTCCCAGGTGAGAACCCGGCGAGGCAGGCGCGCCGGCCAACGAGAGACGGAGTAAGGTGCGGTTCTGATTGGGAAGCCGCACGGGTGTGACGGGTGTGACGGGTGACGGGTGCTTCCGGTGCATTGATTTTGATTCGCTTCTTGGTACTCGATGGCGGTATTGGAAAACGGTTTTCATGTGGACGAGTTTTGGCCCCCTGCAAGACCTGAGGCGTCCACGACTTCGGTTTCTCCTGGCTGGGGCGATCTGATGATGTCATGTGGTTTGTGGAGCGGTTGAGCTTGTGGTGTTGCCGGTTGATATGTTTGCGCGTGCTGACTCGCTGACGTGTTGTGCAGATGGCGAAGGACGTGACCACCTTCCTGGCATGGGCCGCTGAGCCAGAGCACGACGAGCGCAAACTGGTAAGCCCTGCTCTGCCGCCCACGGGGGTCCGCTTAGGATACAGAAGGAGCGCTGAATAGCAGGTCTCGCTATCTTCTTACCGGTTTACAATCGTCTTGTCTGATCGTGTTGCCGGACTTTGCCGTACTGTGTCAAGTCAAGTAGCACCCTGGTGGCAGACAGCCGTGCTCTTTCCTCCGCAGATGGGCATCAAGTGGATGTTTGTCATTGCTCTGGTGTACCTCCAAGCCGTCTACTACAAGAGGTGGAAGTGGGCCCCAATCAAGTCACGCCGACTCATAGTTGATGCCGTGAACTAGAAACAGGAGACAAGAGGTTCCACAAGCCAGCTGAAGCGCTTGTGAGTCCTGTGTTGATACGGTATGCATCTCGCTCAAGGGAACAGCGTTTGCAGTAACATATGGAGCTTAGTGAACCACACGCACCAAAGATTCCAAAACCTTTGCCGTCGTCAGAATCATTGAATGATATTACTTGCGCAATAAAACGATGAACCTCTTCTTCACGCAACCATCAGACATGACATGAAATCAAGCTGCTAGTTCACACCGTCACATCAAAAGCAAGGCACCATCAAACCGGGCACAGTTGTTCCCGGACTTTGAGTCCTACGTAATACCTTTCTACGTACTTTGAATCTCAAATCTAGTTGGCAAATCTAGCTGGCAATCATTCGATCTGCATATGGACTGCAGACATCCAACGGACTGCCGCCAATAATAGGATGAGATCATACGATGTGCTAGTAGAATATGTGAGTCGTCAATGAGTTCAGTGATCCGATCGGACATAGATCATTGCCATATTCGTAGGTGTCCAATCAGTGTTAGCGGTGCCGGCGGGCCGCCGCGCATGGTAATGATAGCTTTTATATAAAAACTCTGCACATGATCCACCTGATCATGCATGCACATGGGGTACTATAATTAAACGTCGCATGAGCTAGAATGCGTGCATGGCCCAGTGTCGATCGGATTCTACTAGATAGTATGATTCAATCGGAAATCGAACCAATTAATTCTGCCGCTCGATATCGAGCTGACATATTCAAGCATGTCTAGCTACTTGTTCTACAAAGATTGAATTCTAATATCATACGAAGGGACGTGCTCCGCGAGGTTCAGGGCAAATACAATCATACCCACGTGCGTTCATTTTCAGTGCGTCGTGATGTTTATTTTGGTCAACACGTAATTATGTAGGTAGTTATGCATGGACTCAGCATGCAGTTTCCACCATGCATGCCACACTTGATACTTGAACACATGCACATCTTCGCTTAATTTCCAATGATAAGTTTAATCTGCTGGGGATTTTGCAAAAAAACACCAATGAATGGAAAGAATTGATTCACAATATAGTAAAAGACTCATCAGTGTATTGCGACTTTTGTGTGCTTGGTTTTTTGACTAAGCTTGACCGTACCCAAGTATGTTTCACTTTCGACCCATTTGAATTTGATCAGCTAAAACTCCCGTACTGCAACTTCGGCCGTTTGCACCTTTTCTTGAAACAATCCACGTGAAAGTAAGTGCACGTCAACGCGGAAACCTGCAAGTTTTTGCCATTGTTTGTTGCTAAATGACTCTTTGCTTGCTACTCCACATCGGAAAAACGCCCAACAACCCAGATCCTCGAAATCCTTTAATCGGCAATTGTTTCGTATGTCACATAAATACAGCAACCACTTCCGGGAGCATCTAAACCTTGGTCTCTCCGTTTAACTTGGCGGGCTTCACATCGACCTGCACGAGCAGATGGACACTGTTAAGAAATTTAAGAGCAACTGATATTTCTTTACAATCAAGGTCACGGTTTGAGGAAGTTGTTTGGCACGGATGCCAACGAACCGCAGTACAGCAGTCGTATTGTACAAAAAGCACGTTGTTTGCACAATACCACTAAGAATTCAAGTCATTCCAAGAAGAACGTAGTCTCCTCTCAGCAGAGAGAGACAGCCAGCATTCGGCACAGCGGTTGTTCTGAAGAGCCGTACCTCTCCTTCGAAATCCTCCAATGACATGCCTTTGGATTCGGGCACGAAGACGATGGTGCAGATTAGCCCCATGAAGTTGGCAACAGTGAGCACGATCAGGGCGTTCTGGAGCCCAATACCTGCGGGAGAGATAACTCACGACGTAAGAACTCACGGCAAGTCCTCAATCAGATAACTGTCGACGATCACTGCGGCAGACAGGAGGCAATCCCAACGGATGAGTAAACAATTCCCCCATTCTTTGCCGTGTGAAACATTCTGACCAAGAAGGGAGAGAGGTGTCACTTGGACAGGTCGCGGCTTCTCACCAGCGGGGTAGGGAGCGGAGACGGCGGGGTTCTTGTCCTGGGAGGCGTACAGGAAACCGAAGGCGCCCACAATGGCACCAGCCTTGCCGCAGGCAGCAGAGATACCGTGGGCAGTCGACCGGAACCTGGCAGACAATAAAGAAAGGTCAAAACAAGGGCTCAAAACAAACTCTCGGAGCGCTGGAATACGAAGCGCTCAGACGAGGTTCGTCACGTCCTGATTCCCGAGTGTAAGTGAAAGTCCTCTGCAACGTCATGGACAACCTGTTGCTTCAATGGTGCTTCGATAGCGCTTCAATTACAGGAAGGATCGTCTCTCAGTTTCGTTTTCACGTTTTAAGACTTCGTTTTCCGTCTCTAAGTTTTTCCGAGGCGCTTGCAATGGGCCCTCACTTGGCGGGGAAGATCTCGGCGGGGACGATGAAGGTGGTGGCGTTGGGGCCCCAGTTGGCGAAGAAGAAGCAGAGCGAGTAGAGCGCGACGAAGGGGCCCTTCTTGGTCTTGAGGTTGTTGTAGTCGCCAGCCAGGATGCCCATGAAGAGCGTCATCATGAAGAAGCCGCCGACCTGGATCCACCACCGCCCGATGATGTCCACCGTGAAGACGGTGAAGTAGTACCCGGGGACGGTGGACCAGAGAGCGACCAGGGCCTGCGCAAAACACAATAGAGTACTGAGTCTTCGGAATCAGGTGAATCCAATCAGAGGCTCTGAGATGTGTGAGACTTGGTTGAGCGCAGACTTGGCTACGTCCTACAAAGCCTCAAAACAACTCAGAACCTCCTTCGAAGTTTACAGAGTACAGATCGCTCTGATTGATGATTCGATCAGGCCCTTCAAGGCCGCATCGAATTACCAACAGACTTCACTGGCAATGACAGACCACTCTGATTGATGATCCGATCGGGCCCGCACAGGCCGCATCGGATTGCCAACAGATGTCACTAGCAGTGCAGGCACGATGATACTTGAGCGCGCGCGAGCTTGTACGCTTCAGTGAGGCCGGACATGGTGGTGTTCTTGGGCACCCAGCCAATGATGGGAAACACATTGGACTGGAAGAAGTTCTGGCTGTAGAACGCGATGTCCAAGAAGAACCAGGTCGAGGTCGTGCCGATCAGCTGCACACAGGGCGGACGTGCTGCGCTAATGAGTCCCTCGGTCTAGTTACACCAGGCGCGCTGACCTGGGCGCGCGCGAGTTTGTAGGCCTCGGTAAGGGCGGACATGGTGGTGTTCTTGGGCACCCAGCCGATGATGGAGAAGACGTTGGACTGGAACAGGTTCTGGCTGTAGAACGCGATGTCCAGGAAGAACCAGGTCGAGGTCGTGCCGATCAACTGATGCGACACAAGAACGTCAGTAGGACGGAACAATACGCCCTGCGCATCCTTCTCCCCCTGGAGCACTGACGACAACAACCGTGGGGAAAAAACCCTGTCTTTTTCATCCCAAAAGCTCGCATGACAGCAGAATTATATAATCATCCGCGCTAGATTTCGTACAAGACTGCAGGTGCTTCAACGCCTCGACTCCGTCAAGGAGTTTGGGAAGAATCAATTGAAGGGATCCCCCTCATACTCACGTGCCAGCCGTGCCACTTGAGGAACCAGCCCCAGTTCTGCTGGGAGGGGGGCACGTGCCTGGGCATGCCCCAGCCCTGCGCAAAAGTGTAAGTCTCCACAGCGGCGGGGTCGTATGCACCCTGCAGCTTGGCACCTCCCTCGATGGCAGCATCCTCAGCCGTGAAGTCAGTCTCCAAAACCCTGGCCATGTTGGCAGCAGTGCCGGCAGCATCCTGCACAAAAGCGGGAGTGTCAGAGTCCAGCTTTCTGGTGGGAAAAAACCAGGTCAGGTCAAAGACAATGTTTCGCAAGCAAAGCTGGTTACGATTCCTCAAATTTTTAGAAAAGTTCGCAAGCTTTGCTCGCAAGCTTTGCTTGCGTTACCTCAAACAACCTTGAGAATCGTAAGAATTCTTGAAGAAAGCTTACGAACCCTGGAGAACGGACTCGTTGATCGGCAATTGCAGTCACTATCGGGCGCGCATGGACTTGCAGTCACACTACTAGGCGCGCATGGACGTCAAAAAACCAGAACCCTATATTTTCAAGTTGCTGGGAAAACAAGCGATGTAAGTACAGAGAACAAGTAACCCACCCCAGCAACAATGGAGGTGTAGCGAGCGGTCTCGGGCAGCTGGAGGCGGTAGTAGAAGGTGAGAGCAGCGGGGACGGCACCCAGGGCCAAGACCAGACGCCAGGCGAAGTCAGAGGCGGGCAGACCAATGGAGCCGTAGGGATCCACGCTGAAGGGGGCGCGCGGGTGGCTGTGCCTCAGGCCACCGGCCACAGCCAGGGTGATGGCAGCACCAACCAGAATACCAATCCCCTGCATGCTGAACACAGCAGCCACAAAGGCACCGCGGGTTGCCCTGTAATAGAAAAGGGCTGAAAAAGTTCACATGTGGCACAGAAAACACTTGGTTATTCGGTATAAAAGCAAGCAAGAGTAGATTGCTTCCTTGAACAATCTCATGCAACCAAGATTGACACAGAAACGTAGTCTACGAGAGATTTTAAGTGGCAGGGCAGCTTTTGACACATAGCTCTAAGAACCAAGGGTCAGGACACCGTAACGACTACAGACTTGCAATTCGCTTGGGAAGGGCACTAGCAGATGCCCCTTGCATTTCTAATTTCTGAATCCACATGAGTTACATTAGCACAGCACTCACTTGTTGGCATACTCGGACATGATGACAGCAGACAGGGGGTAGTCACCGCCAATACCCACTCCCAACATGAACCGGCAGATGCACAGAGTTGTCACGACCGCAAGAGGCGTGGTCCCAAAAGACATGGCCTGGCCTACTCCAAAGACAACCATGGTGATCAGAGTAACACCATAGGCAGTCTTCCGGCCAATCTTGTCGCCCAACCTGGAAGACAAACAACTCAACTTCAGACAAAAAAGCTCATGCGGCTGGCCCAGAATGCTCACAGTCTCAGCATTCGCAATTAGCGGTAACTGACGGTGACCCAGTTCCCTCATTTTAACAGAGTTTCATCATAAGGATGACACACGGTTTGTAACTTTCACAACATGGACGACAGAGAATAACCCTGTGCGTCAGGGTCTACCTTTCTCTTCTCATCATGAGAAGGTCGGACATGCACTGCATACTGTCCCCTCCACAACCTGCTCCACAACCCCACCCCACTAGTTCTGCCAAAGTCATCACTTGAGAGTACAGCAATCCTCATCCTGTGACACCTGACGAGGCAGCTGAATGAGCCATGCTTACCATCCAAAGAAAATCTGGCCAGCCAATGTCCCGCACAGGGCCACAGCAGTGATGGCAGAGTTCTGGTTGATGGGAAGAGCACCAGGCTTCTTGCCATAGAAGGAGGTGGGGCAGACTGTGTTCAGCGGGCAGCGTGGGGTGTAGTAGATGCGACCAATCAGCTTGGTCAGAAGACCAATCCTGTGGAAGAATGGGACTCGCTCAGAAGGGTAACACACCTATACACAGGGACAAGGATTACTAGCTTTGCAGATTGCAGGTTGAACAGACCATCTCACTGGCAAGATCCAGACTTGCACTGCTCAGAGACGTCTGGCGCGGCAAGAGGAAAGTGCTACCGAGCGAAAGTGTTACCGGGACTCACGTAAATAGATCATAGGAATCGTTGAAGAAACCCATGCCTGCAGCAGAAGGCGAAAAGAGATGAGCAATGGAAGCCTTCCTGTGCCAACATTCACAAGCTTCGACACTGGCTCAGTAAGTTCATCACTGAGTACATCACTGGGTTCGTCAAGGACTCCAGTACAGAAGACGTCAAGGACTCCAGTGCTGAGGAAGAAGCAACGTCTTGCAAGTCGACCAGCAAAGCAGCAACTCGGAGGTACAGCACTACTGAAAGCTCAGTAGCAGCAGGCAGGCGCTCAGCATTCCTTCCCAACCTGTGAGCAGTGGTGCATACCTGCGATGATGATGGCCTTGAAGTGAAACCATGAGACCTTCTGCCCGTCAAGGGCCGCCAACACCTGAGACTTCACCATGGTGCCTGCAGCGCCGACACACAATGCGCAGGTCTAGAGCAGGAGACGCTAGCTAGCTAGCTTCGCCCGCAATCCCGAGCAGCGTCCTCCCAAGTAACTTCAAGAGTTTTCCCGGAATGGTAGCCGAACGTAAATTTATGGAGGCCGCGGAGTGAAGGCTCAGGAGACGAAAATATGCTGCTTTCACTGCTTGCAGGGGCGGTGCAACTGGACAGCACGGCAGGGGCATGCAGCCGATGGAGAAGCTTGCTGTGTGGGATTCAGGAGGAATCTCCAGGCTGTTGCTTGAAAATATGCCTTTCCCTTTCATTGAGAGCAATGAAGGCCTCGTTGTCAGAATTCTAGACCAAACTCCAGCTACAGCTTTGGCAATGAGTTTGTAAAAGCAAGGCCTCAGGAGGCAAATCCCTCTCCAAAGTTGATGCCGCCTTCCTATTGGCTGAAAAAGCATCTTTCCAAGAAAGATTCCTTACAGAATCAGTTCGCCTTCCAGCAAACTCAGTTTGAGATCCTTGACCAGATGGCGCGTCGAAATGCGCTGCATGCTTAGAGCTGGAATCCGGAAACGAATAGCGAACTGGCAAGCAGTCAATCACTGATTGCAGGACCAACATCGAATTTCCCATCGAACGTTCACGTCGTAGAAACCACGCTTGTGCAATGTGAACCCCCTCCTCTAAGGATAACCAAACCGGAGGCAATCATCATCTACCCCAGATTCCGCCTCCCTCCGGTAATCAATGATAAAGTGACACTCTCGTACACGTGCACGACGCAGGAAGACTGAGCACCGAGCGGGCCGGGGGTGTGCTCTCGTGCCGCATCCCACCGTCAAACAAGCAGTTGATCGGACGCTCAACAGCTAGACAATTTACAAGAAATCTATCTTGGGCACTGTGATTGGCTGAGCCTGGGATTCTATAAAATTTCCGACCATTCACTAGTACCGGTACATATGGCCAATGGAGAGACGACCGTCCGACGATCAGGCTCCAATAATGGGCTCCAATAAAGCTGGGACCGTACCGTCGAGCAGATGGAGCCTGCACACTGCACAGCGCAGCGGCATACGCTATGCTCCATGTGTGCACTTTACAGTCACGGCTCATGCTGGCAAGCTGCGGCGGCTGCACGTCTACTGCGGTA